ACTAAATTGAACTAATATGCATTACACATATTTTGTGTGTGGTAAGAACACTTAAGATCTAATCTTTAAGCAATTTTCAACAAGACAGTACATTAGCAAGCTATAATGAGCATGCTACATAATAGATGTTTTGAACTTACTTCTTCCAGGCTGAAATTTTGTATTCTTTAACCTCTGGTAACCACCATTTTATTCTCTACATCTATATGTTTAACATTTTTAATACTCCACAAATAAGCATCAAATACTTCAATAATGTAAATGTTTAATGTAGTATTAGCATAGACAGCATATAACTATGAAAATTATATACATCTTTAAGGCCAGTAAGAATCAATTTTTGAGTTATCTATAATATCTCAATTATCTCAATCAAAATCTCAGTTATCTCAATCAAAAATAACCACATACAGTCGTTTGTAGATAAGATGGTCTTCATCTGAAAAAACTTAAAAAACAGCACTGGAAACTATTAGAACTAAAAAGAATTATCAAGGTTCCTGGGTAGAACTCATAATAATCAACAGACTTCTTTTACACATAACCACAAGCCATAAGCTGCAACATAAAATGTTTTTGACAGCAGCAACAAAATTTTAAAATAATTAAGAAAAGTTAATAAAAATGTACAAGATCTTCATGGACATCATTATGAAACTTTACAAGATTTAAGACCTCATYAAATGGAGTAATATACTGTGTTCATCATACTAAAACATGATAAAGTTTTAAATATTCTCAAAAAGATCTCATTCGGCTTCTAAGCAAACAATTTGGCCTTAGACTAATTAGTATGAAATAATGCATAACAATTTTTAAAGCTTACAGGATCTGAAACCAATTAGTTGTCTCACAGTATTTGCAAGTGTGGATAAAATCATATTTAGTTATATAATGAACTTGAACACCAATTTATTTAAAATTCCTTACTCTACATTCTCTGTGAGCCAGAGCTTCCTACTGCACACTAAAGAATCCTTAATGCCAGATAAGAATACAAATATATGCTTCCATATACCAACTTTTCCTCACCTTTAAGGATATTAAGTTTCCATCAGCCCTTAGGAATGGATTAAAATATAAGTAAAACACATATCCACAATTACTTACATTATTTTTATGCTGTCTAGACCTCTCCACTTTCTTTTACCATCATCTGAATTATACCATTACATGGTCATGAGCACATCTGTCTGAAGGGAGATACAGACAAAATAAAATCCAAAATAGAGCAATCCTGCCACTTGTTAGCAGTTCTGGTAAAAGGAAGTTTGAAAAAAGAAACAACTACTAAACAAAATTGTGTACGCAGAGTTGGAGAAATAATAAACAGGGATTTGTTTTATTTAAAACTTCTTTGCTCCAAACAGTATGGATCAAACACAGTTAGCTATGTTAATCATGTACTATGCCAGACATTGAGGCTGCTATGAACAGCAATTCTCCCCTTATTTATTACAAAGAAAAGGCTGAATGTTTTTCAGATACTGAATGATCAGGTGATTCAAGAGATAAATTAGACCAGTCTTGATTAGTCTATGCGGTGGAAGGTAACTCCATTCATCTTACTAGCAGTAGTCCCTTGATATACCCAGGGATTGGATCGACTGGACCACAAACTTCATGGATGCGCAAATGTCTGATATAAAATTTGCATATAACCTACATTCTCCTGTAAATTTTAAATCATCTCTAGATTATGAATAATACCTAATACAATGTAAATGGTTGTTATACTGTATTGTGTAGAGAATAATGACAAGAAAAAACATTTGTATGTGTTTAGTGTAGATGCCATTTTTTTCTCTGTGAATATTTTCTATCTGCAGTTGGTTTAATCTGTGGCAGAGCTAACAGATATGGAGGGCCAAATGTGATAGACTGAGGAATAAACTATAATAGATGATAGACTGCTAAGGGCCCTTCTAAGGGCTTCTTGTCTTTAAAAGGGGGAGGCATGAGAAAGGATGTCCCCTCTTTCTGCCTCTGGCTACCTAAAGTTGTAGCAGCCAACTTACAACCAAATGAAGTCAGTTAAGGGAGAGCCAAATACTGAGGATGGCAGGGTAGAAGGATGGAATGGCCTCATTAAGCCAATAAATTCTCTAGCTTAGAGATGGTTCTATATCCAGACTATTTGTTAAATGAGAACAAAATTATTTTCTTCCAGCATTTAAGCCATTTTTGAACGTAGTTTTCTTGTGACTTGCAATGAAAAATACCCAGACTGATTCTGTGCCAAGCATAGTATAAGCTGAAATGAGTGCTTATGGAAATAGTTTATACAAGTCCCCATGTAAAATCTACATAAAAAGAGTTCATGCTATTAAAGAAAGGTGTAATAGTTCTGAAGTGATTTCACTACATAAGGAACAAAGCTACCTGCTATCGGATGTTTGGCTAGAACAGGATTTTCTCTTGCTCATGAGGAGATAAACAGAGGCTTAAAAGGYTGTATCTGTGTTTTTGGTGTTTGTGGCCCTATTACTTCTATATTTCTACAGCACTACAACATGTTTAACAACAGTTTTTCAATAAACCCTGGTGAAGTCAACCTTAGTGCTGTTTTAGGAAATCAATATGATTTACACAGATTTTTTCTTTCAAAAGAAACAGGAGTTTGAAATTGCCTTCCCTTGGTATTGTCCTAAATCCTCAATAAGCCCTGACAAGGAATATGATATAACTTGAAAATGTTTTTCAGATTAAAAGAAAAAAAACATGATTCCAAAGTTGAGCTTTGAATTTTGGTAGCGTATAAATTAAGTAATATGTACAAATACAAACTGAAAATACTTCAAAGCATAGATCATAAAAACCAACATCAAGGTATATCAATCCATGGATTCAAGGATTTCCAAAATTAATGATTATTTTTTCCTCCTGATTTACAAGGGTTATCCTGGGACCTATGTTTTTTCTAACACAAATGCAGAGTCTATTAATAATGTAAGTAGCTCTAGGGCCCCTTCACCATGGCAGTAAAGCTCTTGTCTAAAACCAGAACTGTTTCCTTTATACTTTAATGGATTAGCTCTGTTTAACTTAACTTTAGTCTCAATTCTGCTCCACTGGCATATGGACACTTAATGAATATTTGATAATGGTGACTATGACTGCACAGAATGTCTTAGAGTCCACAGGAAAAGTGCTCTAAGATATTTTGCTCCAGTGATAAAATTGTCTGAGAGCCATGTCTTTTCATAAGCCCCAAATAAGATGAGAGGAAGACACATAAAGGAACTATTTGATATAGGCTAAAATTTATATAACACCATCATATGTTATTTTACCTAATCTTATTCATATTCCCAGGGACTAGGTGTTGGGATCCCATTTTCCTGAACGTAAGATGCCACTGAGTATGTGGTGAGCCAATATTTTATGTACCAAAAATAATAATTTTGTCCAATAAAAGTATGATCACCATTTATATACCAGATGCAATCTGATTTCARAGATGTTAAAATGTAAAAAAAAAAAAAAAWTKRAAAAAAACACAATATTGATAAGAACATTTTTCCTGGTAACTACCCTGTCACAAACAATGCTTTCTACCTTCCTCAGGCCCGAGTGATGGAATGTGAGCACAATCCCTGCAGTGACTTCCAGACCAAGGTGGTGAAGAAGCAGAAGTTCTTTCTCCCTCCTCTCTCTCATCTTATCTACTATTTGTGTTCATAGGATGACCCTGAACTACCTGTTGAATGTATCCCAGCCTCTGTGTTGGCTGGGACCCTTAATGACTTCAAGGACAGAGCCCAACCCCAAACCACATGCCAAACACAATGTCACCTTTAATTTTGACACAGCAATAAATCTTTTTATTGTTAAACCATTGTCATCTGAGAACTCCTTTGTTAAAACTAGAATTACTCCAAATAGTGCAGTGGCAGAATTAAAATGTAAATTTCAGATTTCCAAAGCCTGGGGCTTATTCTGTTGCAACATGTAAATACAAAACTCCAAACTTAAGCACCTCCAAATTTAAACACATAAATAAACCAAGACTAATTGCTCCATTTTTAAAAATGTTTCTTTGCTTGGTTTATTTAAAAAAAATTAATAGACTTGAGATTGTTATATTTAAGGGAGAAAGTACAGAGAGGGCCCATTAAGGTCATATACATGTCATAACACCTAGGTGAGGGGTGGAGAATAAAGACCAAGGGAATGATTTCCAAAATGAGTAAARTGATGCTTATCAGTGTGCACTCCTTTCGTCCTGTTGGAGAATAATGCAATTTGGGTTTAGGTAAAGAAGTCCCAGGCAGTTGTTATAACCCTGGCCTACTGCTTCAATATCTCCAGATAAGTACAGCCCTGTTTCCTGAAACAGCTCGAAGCAAAGGAAAGGGAGAAGGAAGCAGCCTGGTGGCAAAGGATGAGAGGGAAGAAAAGGAGGTAACAGAAAACACCAGTAGCCAAGAGCTCATGTTCTAGATTCAAGACAAGGGTTTGAACCCTGGCTCCACTACTATTCGGATCAGCATCCATAATCTTGAGTCATTGTTTAACCTCTCTTAAGGGTCAACTCTGTCATTTACAAAATGGCGTGATTACAGAACTCAGTTCATGGTGTGATGAGAATTAAATGAGAAAATGCATGCAAAACACACCTACAGCACTTGAGTGAGCATACACTGGAAGCTAGTTGCTACACTGTCGTCACTAATCTTTAGCTTCCTTTTCTACCCAGTTGCAAATAGCCAGGTTTGCTTTAATAGAAGTCTGTTCTTCACAGTAGAAAGCACAATTCCTTCAAAGAAAGTCAGCCTTCAGTATGAAACCAACTGAAGAGTCTGAAGAAGTTTCTATTTCAAAATTTTAAAAAAATTGTTAATATGTCTTGAGGGAACAAGAGTACAGAAAATATTGAAATTATGTTTGGTAAATGATTTTTCAACACCAATATCACTTTATTACTTACATAAAAATAACACTTCTTTTTCATTTTACAATATTATAAGGAATAAAAAAGAAAATAGAAAAAAACTTACCCTTTGTTTTTCATTTGTACCCTTTTTATTGGTCTCTTTTCTACTTTCATCTTCATACACTAAAACAAAGTCGATTCTTCTCTGACCATCATTAAAAAATAGGGAGTCAGGTTTTCCATTAAATTCTTCCTGTGTGGGATTAAAAAGATTGTAATATAACTTTTGGGAAAAGTGCTGATTTATAAATGTTTATCTTCTASCTTTAATAGATTCATCAATCTGCTTATTGAGAAAGAAAAATATATTCATTATTAGTTGCTTGACCAAGCAGTTGTGGCCCCCAGGATCTTTGTAAGTACAGTCAGTTCCTGGTGAGAGAAAGCCTTTGAATTGAGCAGTTTAGCATTATTCTACAAAAGCATGGAGACATATCAGTATTATATAAGTAACACAATCATCCCAAATTATTCCCACCTGCAGCAAAGGCATATCCAGTTTAGAAATGGACAGAGTAAAAAAATCTGCCTATTTGAAGGATTGAAGCTTACTTAACAAGAAAAAGGTAAGATAAAACCCTGTTAAAGACAAAACCTTTTCTTCACCCAAGTTGAAGAATTTCTTCCTTCCTGTGTTTTATTTTCTAACCTCTGAATCCTTTTCCAAGGCTTATCTCCAGACCTCATATTTTATAGGTGTTATCCTTTTTTTTAAACCATGAAAAAATTCCAGAAGATGTTTCCATACACACAAAAGCCACACAAATCATTACTATTTTTCCTCAAATCCACAATGTACTATCAACCACAGAAAACAGATTTTTAAGATTCTTATAAATAACAACAAATTTAATGAGTCTGTCATTTAGAACTTAAAACAATTTATATTCCCATATGAATTTGAGCAGAACTGGTTTCATCTGCTCTAAGCATAGACCTGAGTTTGCGTTCTCCTGCAGTCTGTCAGGATGCTTACATTAACTGTATTTTTTAAGACTCAGACTGCATTTTAACTGATAATATTTAAAAAATTTCTTTCCCATTAAAAACTCATGGGAAATTGCATTTTGCAATCATTTGGTGAAACCACTTGTATGTTACATTCATTAAATGTGATTAATTTGCCTCTGTATTCAGCATCAATTAGCACAAAATCACCTCATTTTACCACTACCACACCACTTCCTTTTTATCTTCACACAGTGGAGAAGAGAGATTTTTTGCAACATATATGAAACTAATACTTGTTATTTCTTTCCTTTCTCCCACCATGGAGTGTATGAAAGCTTATCACTAGTAAGTGCCTCCCATTTAGCAGGTTAATTCTACCTGCAGAAGGAGCACTGCTGAGGTGAGTCTCTCAATGCACCCTCCCCCGSCCCCAGCCTCACTTAACCACAGATTTGAACCACCAACAGAAGAAGCTTCAAGGTAGAGTCATGCTATCAGGGCTCTTAGGGTCCAGGAAAACCAACTCATCATTATTGTCTTAGGGTAATGCCATCCAATTCTTTTATTTGCTATTGTAGTTATTTAAAACCATTAAAATTTCTTTGAAGCTGGGCTGGGGTTGTGGCTCAGAGGTAGAGCGCTCGCCTAGCATGTGTGAGGCCCTGGGTTTGATCCTCAGCACCCCATAAAACTAAAATAAACAGGTTGTATCCACCTATCACTAAAAAATAAATATTTAAAAAATTTTCTTTGAAGCTATATAAAAATGCTAAGCCCTGTCTTTGTCATTTTAGCCATAGAGCTCTTTAGTCACCTTCAATTTCTCCTTCTTTCAATGAAGACTTTACTACTGGTGACAATCAGGGAAGTTGGTAGAGGAAAGTTGTATGTAGAGATTAAAAAGAAGACAGRAAGAAAGAAAAAAGAAGGAATAACTTCTCAGAAGGGCAAAGGGAAGTGAGTCAGGGTGGAACTGGTCAGGAAAGCCTGGTCATCAAGCAGACAACTGAAAAGCATACAAAAAGCAACTTGTTCTCTATAGCCTTGGGTGGAGTCCTGTAGGAGCTCATTGACACAAAGTTGTGAAGAATTGGGCATCTGTATATGGCTCCAGGCTCTCCTTCCTTGCCTAGCCATTGCTTGGCAGCACAGGCTGGCAGCTTGCCCCTAAGTAATCTGCTCTGCATTTTTGCCTCTTGTGTGATGTTGGATCCTTTGTTTGGAAGAAAATCCCCATGAGTTGGCAATAGTTGCCTGTGTGAAATAAGCACTTCACACTCTGATACAATACTATTATAATTCAAGGAAGTTTCCCCCTGCTGTGAAATCCAGGTTTCTTACTTCTTGGCAAAAGAGATCCTACCAGGCTATTGGGAAGAAGGAAGAAACTAAAACTGGGCTCCAAAGAACATGTAACAAACAAGGGAATTGGTCTAGGTAAAGATACATTATGAACAAAATGTATTGTTAAAAAAAAAAAAGCTGTATTGTTCAGTAATTCTTTTCACTACAGGACTAACTCATGCATTTGGTCATTTAAATGACAGTCAAATATTCTTTYCTTGAAGTTCAACTTTGGAGGAAGTAAAATTTTAATAGTTTCTCAAAATAAATATTGGTAATCTTTAAAGGACTGATAATTTGGAGATGGATTATCCAAGTCTTGGCTTCCACACCTTCTCTTGTTTTCTACTCAAATTTTGATCTTTAGTCATTTCTAACAAGTCAAATGGCACTAAGATGAAATAAGCAAAAAATCTGAAGCCCATTGAATCCCGTTTAGCAGCGTGAATTTAAAAACACTAAAAGAGAAGGTTTAAAATTTATTAAGTAAAATCACTTTAGAGATTAGACCTTATATATGGTCACTGACCTCCCCACTGGGAAATTTATAGATCCATATGCACATCAGGTTAACTAATTTCTTCTATGAGGGTCCTAGGCAAATGCCTTAATACCAAGATAATAAACAGAACCTTTGTTTGTTAATACTTTGCCTTTCTTCTGAGAGAAAATATCAAGCAAATTTCTAATCAGTTTGGAGACTAGAATGTGTTGGTATAAAACCACTGCCCTCCTGGTCCCGATGCCACCAATCTAGCATTTATTCACTACCTAATGGCAACCTGATCTGATGCTGTATAAGAGCTAAAGGCTGGAATATTTAAAAGCACAACCTATGTTCATTTGTGATTATATCAAAATAAACCAAAACAATACTGCCAACCACCGAAGAATAGCAACCTGGCCACCTCTGTTTTCATTTGTTTGGCTTTGACATTTCACACTTGGGGTGAGGAGGAGACAAGCAAGGAGACAGCTGACAATGAGAACTTGGCYGAGTAGGGAAACGAACATGAAGGAGGCCAGGTATGATTTACCCAAGTGATGTTTTCCAGGCCTCTCTCCTCTCAATCTGACTGCACTCCTTTAACAAAAAGGATCTTCCTTAACCAAATCAGGACAAATGCACATAGCAAAATTACGCTACCCAGCAACTGCAAGCTAGTGTGAATCTCAAAACATGAAAAAAAACAATTTTTGCTGTAAAGAAGGACATGTATGTACCAGAACTGTACCCAGAGTCAGTCGAGATCTCCAGTAATTAAGGACAGTGGTTAAGAAAGAATGTCCTAGTGGACAGAAAAACAAGTTTAAAGATAAGAATTTTCTACTAATGCATGGTAGGAAAATTTCCAATAAGCGATCTCTGATTGAATTATGGCATTGGACTTTTCCTTGAATATGATGCTTTAGTTATATAAAGGGGAAACTTCAGGATGGTGAGGTCTAACTTCTAGGCAGAGACAGAGGGCACCTGGGGAAATGGCTGCCTGAGTCTAAGTGTTCTGTGGCATTTGTTAGGAAGCCCACCTTACTAAGCACTCTCCCAGGGTTCCTGACATCACTACTTTTGTGAGTCCACAAAGTAACTGGCTGCCCAACATTTGTCCAATGTCACACTTTTCAAGTGTCTTTAATATGGGTCCTCAAACATCCCTGATAGGAACCGTGTCAAATTTCACTACAGAGGAATCTACTTCCTATCACTTAAAATGCTGAATTTAAGTTATGTGTCCAAGATTTGGATAAAAAGGAGTCATTCTGAAATCTTTGTTTAAACTCTTGTTTATATACAAGGGTGTTTGACACTGGCCTTAAATAGTGATACTGATTTTATCCCTTGAATTTCCAAACAACCTATGAAACTAGCTAGTATTCCAGGCTTATTTGGGTTAATGCTATTGAACTTTACACAAGAAAGGTTTATTGTCTAGTAATAACAGTTGAGAAATTAAAATATGAAAAATAAATAATGTCAAGATATTCACATAATTAAACAGTAATTGATATGTGAATGTGAACCAAAGATGTGGCTCTCTTCAGGGTTTAAGACTAGCAAGCAATGTCATTAATTTCAAGAAGACAAAGGAAACAAACTTAAGTCATAGAAGATAACTGAACTGAAAATGTGGGACCTTTTGCTTTATAGTAAATCTTGAATCCATGCACACAGCAAGTTCTAGGGGAAATATATCCAAAGTTCAGAAGCAAAAGTCTTTATGTAAATATTTAGATCTTATAAAATATGGAATTATAATTTAGTTTTGTTTATATGCCATGCAGCCAYGAATGACATATATTCCTAAGTATTTGTCTTAACTATAGCAGAGTTCAGGGAGATTCACTATCTAATAATTGAAGCTTTTTTTTTCCTTTACAAAACTGTGCGAAAGTACTGTAGGGATAGAAGAGAATAGGCAAAATTTTATTCCTTGTATTATGACAAAAATGCAAACTGCAAAATTTTAGCCAAAAAAAGGATCATGAAGTGTCAATACGGAGAGTTGATTATTGAAGGTAGAAAGAGTAATACTTAAAGAAGCAGGGATGGCGGGGGAAGGAAGTAACATATTAGTAACAGGGTAAAGAGAAGTACATGGACATGCAGGACCTTGTTTCTGACCAGACTGGGCATTCAGGAGTGTGCTAATGACAGAGAAAGCAGAGGAAAAGGAGGAGGATTCATCCTGAAGTGAGAACTCCAACTCTCTCAGAGTCCAGTGTATCAGGATGTTCCAAAACATCTCTTAGTGGCGACTCTATGATGATTGAGGTGTATTCAAGAGTGACCCAGAATGATTTCTGYACAAATCACATTGTTTCCTTCCCTACCCTATTACCTATACAGTTTGCTTCTGAAGGACAGTTGCCAGGCTTGCTCCCCTTAAGGTCTCTGCT